AGGGGCCTGCTGCTCGGGGGTAGTGTATGGGTCTCCTGGGCTACACCCTAGGGAATGGCAGGCTTATACCCCTGGCCTGCCGATGGACTATACTCGGCAACAGGGTTGTTGTAGGGGGGCCATCGAGCTGTTGGTGAAGGAGGTTGGCTTTAGGTGGAGTGGTGCCGGTGGAGAGTTGTCCTTCTCCTCCTCATCATCACACTGGTGGTGATGGAGTGTATATGCCCGCGGGATTCTTTACATCAACACCCTTGAGCCAACATGCAGGGATGCAGTTTGTTCATACGCCTGGACATCCACATGCAACATGCACTGGGCATTTTGGTAGTAATGGGGCAGGTGCAGGGATCGAACTTGAGTTACTAGGAAGAGAGGTGGTCATACTAACCGTTGGGCTATATTGTTTGTTTTTAGCACCTTATGGAGCCACACCAATCCCTGGTGCTTATGCTACAACTGCAGTTGCTAGTCCTCAACAGCACATGAGATTCGCATGCTATGGCAACGCTGCCGACCGGCATAGTTTTTATATGGGCTCCACGGCCGTAGCAAGCACTCCTGTCCGTGGGCTTCCCGTCCCTCCTCGTTTTAGGTTGGAGGTTCTAGTCCTGATGCCAGCCCAGTAGCAGCAATGATGGGCAAGGTGAGCGAGGAGGAGCTACGGAGCGCCATGCCTCAACAGTAAGCAGGCTTGTACCTTGTTGGTTAGTTCGAGGATGGTGTGAATGGAAGGTGTGTTAGGTACCTGGATTAGACGTATGCATTCATCACTCTTTCAATTCACAACTCCTTCTGTTGTTGGAGATTCATCGCTAGGCTTATGGCAGAGGGTATGCTCCTACTACTACTACAGTCATTATCTTATTCGTAGTGCTGCATGTAATGGCAATGGGCCAGTCTCTCATCTACTATCGTATCGTGTTATTCGAGTCGTTGATGCTTACCTCTTTGGGGCGTTCGCCTGTCCTTATTATTACTCTCCATTGGTCATAGTCTGGTGACAGGCGACGAGAAGGAGGATGTCATTTTGCACTTGTGGCTTGCAGAATGGTACCACTCCTCGGCTACATCGTCTGTTATAAAGGCCGCACTTAGTCGGGGAGCCGCAGAGGGTCTCAGCGCCGAGACGATTACCGAAGACAACCGTCGCTAGCTTGGCAGAGGAGACTAAGTTGACTCCACAAGAGGTGGAGGCCCTGTATGACAGGTGAGTGGTGATTCAAACAAGTTGATAGGAAGACTGATAGTATATCAGGTTTCTCAAGGTGGCTCCAAGTGGGCGTATGATGGAGGAGGACTTCCGTAATACGTTGGGGGTAATAGTAGGGAACAATGCATCATGGCCGAGGCTCGAGCGTGGCTTGTGTTGTGGTGTAGATTCACATTATTAGATACTAGGGTTGGGTTCGAGCAGCTTCATCCCTCTACGGATGTTCGCAGCATTTGATACCGACGGCGATGGGACACTCACGTTCAAGGAGTTCGTCAACAGTCTTGCTGTCATGCTTAGAGGTACGGCCTGGTCAAGGCAAGGGATCGCGGAAATCGTTGTGCAAAAATATGGGAACACGTCTCATATGGTTATACACTCCTAAGCGCCTGGTCTGTCGGGAATTAGGGCGGTCAATAGAATTGAGGAGGTTCGGCTAGTTTGAGTAGGAGTGGAGGGGCTGGAGGATATGCACAGAGTCAACTACGTGTGTTGATTACGAAGTTGAGAATTTCGGAAGGTTGTCATTGGTTTCTGTATATTTCTACCCGAATTTGTATGTAATATTTCAAAGTTGGGGAAACTACTGAGCTCAGCTGAGGAAAGCAAATATATACTCCAGGAAGTTGTGATGTAGTGCATGGTGGTTGTAGGCACCGACTATGAGAAGCTGAGCTTGAGCTTCCGTATGGCGGACGTTGGGGGTCATGGTGGACTTACCTACAACGAGTTTAGGTGAGCTGTGGGGTAGGTGTGAGGCTGATGCGGGGGAATTATGGTAGGGATATGATAATGGCGTGCCACTCTGTGACGAACCTGTTTGAAAAGGAGGAGACTAGAGAGGAGAGGCGGCTGGTCAGTGAGAGGCGTATAAGACGGTAGGTGCGG